TTGATCAGAGACAGGTTTATTATCTTTTTTCTTTTTAAGATTTATTATTCATTCATTCCTTCATTTTAATTTGAGAAGAGAGAGAGAAAGGAAATTGAGAAAGCGAGCCACCAGGTCCAGGTCTCGAACCATGGTCGGCCATGAGGGGGTGTCCAGTGCCTTAACCACCACGCCACCTGGTAGTCCCGACAGGTTTATATCTTTGTTCCAGTTTGTATGATGCTTGAGAGTTTATGTACTGGATTTTGTTTTAAAATGCCTTTGTAAGAATTTGGGAACAAAATTAAGGTTGAAAATCTTCAGGGTTTCCTTTCACTACCCTGCTTTAAACTGCCTTGCAAGTAAAGCAAATACATATTGTAAAACCAGTTTCAGGTCCAGCCCAGTGATGCATTCAGTAGCAAACTGAACTGCTGAGCTGGATGATCACAGGTTTAGATCTCCCAGTTGGCCTGAAAACACGTAAGATCCTGAGCAGCTGGAGATCTGAAAGAAAGGAATGGGAGCATGAAGGGACCCTGTTGAGGGTCCTCTTTTCTCATACCCATGTTCCCTAAACAAAAAGACTTTGGAGCCAGCAGTGGCATGATGATTAAGGCTAAGCTGGACTCCCACATGGCTGACCATGGTTTGAGTCCCGGGCCTGGCAGCTTGATAATCATGCCAGGCTTGTGTGTGTGCACTCCCAAAATCCCAGGAGGAGAATAGAATGGAGAAAAAGGGGTGTGGGCACATGAAACTGAGTTAATTTTTCTTGTAAGTCATTAACTGCATTTGATGAAATCACTGATTTGTATTTAATTGGGTTTTTGAGTCTTTGCCAAACTTTGCATTTCTTTGATAACTCCAACAGATGTTACCTTACGGTTTCTAAAGGATAAGATAGTAAAGGCTGCGTATTCCATAACAGAAATGCTTGGGACCAGAAGTGTTTTAGAATTTTTCCCCCCCTAATTTTGGAATATTTCTTATATTCACTATACCCTTATTGCTGCTTAATTAGGTTGTGGTTTTAGGGCCATCTGGTGTAAGCTCATTGATCTATGTAGAGTTTGTGATGTGAAAATGAGTTGAAGCATGGATAGCTTTATTAAAATCTTGAAAAATCAGCTGTTGGGAATCCAAGTTTAAATGTTCATGTTATGGATTTTTGATTCTGTGAAATACCAGCTGGAAAGATGGAACTTCTTTGTTAAATACTGCCCAGTTGGGACCAGCAGCTAGCGTAGGCTATGTTGCTGGACTCCCATGTAGTCAACCACGGTTCGAGTCCCCGACCTAAACTCACGCCAGGCGCTTGTGCATGCATGCCCAGGATCCCGAGAGGAGAATGGAGGAGAAGGGATTGTGGCGTGGCCATCCCCCCTGGGGGATGATTTCTCGCTGTCTGTCTGTCTCTATCTGGCGAGCGCGTGCGCCCTATAGCAAAAACCTCTCCAACAAAGAAAAAGAAAAAAAAAATACTGCCCAGTTAACTGAAATAACACCCCAGTATGTTAAATCAGTTAAGTGAAATAGCATCCTGTTCATCTGTTGAAGTTGTATTACGTTATGAAATAGGATGTGCTTACACAGTGCCCAATAAGTTTACTGGTTTGTTGCTTTTATGGCATTAGGTTTTTTTGGAAAATACTTACTTGAATATTTGGCCTTGTTTTTTGCTATATTATTTGCTCAATGACACTATTTCCTTTATCTTTGAATAGTCTTTGTTGCTTAAAGAGGACCTATTAACAATGGAATAAAATAATTTTGTTGAATACTACGAATTTTGACTTATATTACTTGCATAGAATGATTTATTGCTTTGTGATGTGTCTCTGGCATGAACATTCATTTGCAAACACTGTTATATAAGATCTTTCTGGTAGTCATGTTGATAATAGCAATCCTCACCCCTCCAATACCTGCAATCTTCAGGAAATCTATCAGAAGAGAATAGTGAGCATGCTAATAAAAGTGCTATTCCTTGTGTCTTGGTAACACAGGTGCCTGCTTCCAAGAAAATACTGTCTTTCAGGTTATTAAAGATAGTTTTCAATATGCATCTATTAAAATTCTGTTTAATTTTTACAATTTGTATGTTATAATTTGAACATTTCAGCCTCATGCTTGTTGATTTATATATTACCTGTATTTCATACATTCCTCCTTTAGAATTTAAATATTATTTTTATATATAATGTATATGTAATACACAGGCGATAGAAGAATTGTGTCCTCAGCAGAAAGCTCTCTTTTTTTTTTTATAAGGCCCAAGCTCTTCGAATTTTTTTTTATTTATTTATTAATTCACTTTACACCATCACAACACACAAATGAATTTTCCATCCAAAATACACTGTGCATTGTCGGAAAGCTCTCTTTTCACTGAAAGGCAAGAATGTTAGGTACATTGTTGCATAGTTGACTACTGTCTTAAGGAATGGGCTTATATATCTTTAACTCTAAACTGTCAGTAAAGTTTGTGGAATTGGCTATTCTGACGCTATGAAAAATGTCTCTACTCAGTCATAGGATATGTTCAGAAGAGTTGTTTCCCACTCTTTAATAATTCGACTGGGAGGTAAAATAAAATATGCACATTGTGCTTATTGCCCCAGTTTTATTCTGAAATTAAAGATAGAGCACCTTTGTCTAAGGATGGTGTCTTTTTATTTTTTTTAAAGAATTGTTTTATTTAACATCCATTTTATTTATTTATTTTTAAATCTGACTAGAGAGGGACAGAGTGAGGGGGAGTGAGTGGGAAAGTGAGAAAGAAAGTTGTCAGGTCCAGGACTTGAACTGTGGTCGGCCATGTGGGAGACCAGTGTCCTTAACCACCACCACCTGCTGGCCCCAAAGGACAGTGCTCTTTTTTTATCTTTGTTTATTGCCTTTCCAAGATTTCACAGATTTTTAAGTCCAAATTATGAGTTTAATGGAACAGATACACTTGTGCACTATAGATACATTAGGAATTAGGCTCTTATGTAGAATTTTACCTTACAGAGTTTTAAGCCATGTTGTATAGAGGGACTGACAATCCATACGAGAGAGCCTATGGAAAGAAAACATGGAAAGACTCAGCAAACTGTACTCTTAAGTGTATTATTATTTTTTTGAGAGATTTTTGCCATAGGGGATGTGTGCTCACCAGACAGACAGCAAGAAATCTCCTCCCACCCCAGGGGGGATGGCCTTGCCACAATCCCTTCTTCTTCATTCTCCTCTTGGAATTTTGGACATACACATGCACCTGGCTGGTGGATCTGATACTTGAACTGTGGTCAGTCACGTAGGAATCCAACAACTTAACCACTGTGCCACATGCTGACCCCATTATTTTTAGATTTTTGCCATAGGGCACACACACTAGCCACAGAGACAAAGAGAAAGTGAGAAATCACCCCCGCCCCCCCAGGGGGCATGGCCACATAGCAGTCCCTTCTCTTTCATTTTCCCTTTGGGATTTTGGGCACGCACACATAAGGGCATGGCATGTCCTGCAAGCCACCAGGTCCATGACTTGAATCACAGAGTCAGCCGTGCAGGAGTCCAGTGCCTTAACCAGCATGCCACCTGCTGGCTTACCTTTAAGCGTATTTGTAAATCATATTTGAGAATGATTTAATAATTAGGATGAATAATGTTTAATGCCAATAGATAAAGTTAAGCTGGCTTTTTAGTTTTCTGTGAGGAAATGGGGGATTAAAGGAAAGTCCTTACTAAACAGAAATAATCAAGTCCTGTATCACAAAATGGTATCTTAATGAAAATAATCAAACCCTGCAGCCCAAGATGGTATCTTAACACACCCTTGATTACTATCAAAGAATTTTGAGATGAGTTATTTTCAACATAAGATGAATGTTTTGTTTTTAATTATTGAAATTGACTTTTAGAAGGCTAAATCTTACTTTATTTCTAGGACAAGAAAAGGAAACATGGATGAAGCTAACTAAAGTTCACCTTCCACCATAATTCAGAAGAATCCTTAGCCCAGGAATGCTGGAATCATAGTCCCTTTTCAGGTCAGTCAGCATCTATTCATTATTTATGATTACAGCTGAAGTGTTCTTTTTAGCCATTTTTCCTGATTCTGATTCCAATGATTAATGAGCATAAGTAATGGTCCCAATGTCTTGAGTTAGAATTTCTCGTGACTGTCTTACAGCTGAAGGTGACACCACTATAGCTCAATCTTTGCCCGGAAACACGTCATTTATTGCCCTTATGTTTCTGAGCAAGGCTTTACGGCGATTTCCAGCTTCCAGTTGTCCTCCTCTTTGCTTACTTACAGTTATGTGTAGGTTGGCTTGTCTTTGGGTAAAATTGAACTGAAAGCAGAGATGACATATTAAAGAGATTTTATTTGCAAATGAAAAAAAAATTCCTATTAGTTTTTGGTGATGTGAAACTTAAATTTTAATCTTACATTTTTTTGGTAAAGTATATAATCTTAAAAAAGGTATGTTGTAAAATCTGATCCATGCTAGCCTTATTTCACCCTCTATGCTATCCACTTGTGGAGAGGGATCATGATTTTTCTGTTCATATGTCAAACAAAATACCTTATGTACATTTACGTTAGTGTAACCTTTATGACTAAATGTTAGTATAAGTATATTATCATCCAAATGGGTCCAAAGAGGGCTCTTTCTTCCTTAACCACTTTATCTGTTGGTGGTAAGTATCCTTTACCCTTGCTGGCAACCAGGAGTCAAATGCAGGCTCTCCAAGTAGGACACACAGAGACCTACTGATCAGAACATCCATTTTAATAAGACCCTAGGGAATTGTGTGCATAGTTTCAGAATCACCAATACCATACCCTTGAGGAGTATCACCCTGTAAAATATCTAACCCACTTCATGCAGCACCAGAATTTGGTAACTGTTTTTTGTAGTGTAATCCAGCTCTAGAAAATGAACCTTGGTCAACAGTTCTTAGTCCTGGCCCATAGATCAGTGCTACCATCATCTGGGAACTTGTTAATAAGATACACATTTGCAAAATGACAGCAGTTTCCAGAATTACTACACTGCTTTGATGAAGTACCTTTGAACCCCTTTCTGACAGCAGACCCCAACCACTCCTAGCCTTCTGATTGGACACTCAGGGTGTAGGACCCAGTGATTTTTTTTAAATTTGAAAATAAACCACTACTAGTGGTTCTACCAGAGAATTACTGGCCTAGGAAATTACACACAGAGCTGCCCTTTAAAATATGTTTACAGAGAATAACGTAATTCTGTGGATAATTTGATGGGATTACATTTTAGGTTGTGTGAAAGGGTCTTCAGAAGTTCATAGAAAATTCTTACTATGAAAAAACTATGCATGGATTTCAAAATTTTATTGCACCAAAATAAACTCATACTTTAATTCTATTTTCCATAAACTTAAAAACAACCTCAAATATGTTTGTAGGTTTCTTACATAAAATGTGAAGAAATAATTTCCAAAATACACTGGTAATGAAAAAAATGTATTGAGGGTACCAGCAGCTGGCGTAATGACTATGTTGCTGGGCTCCCATGTAGTCAACCGTGGTTCGAGTCCTGGACCCGGTGGCTTAAACTCACACCAGGCAAATGTGCATGTGTGCCCAAGATCCCAAGAGGAGAATGGAGGAGAAGGGATTGCAGCATGGCCATCCCTTCTGGGGGTGATTTCTCACTTTATGTCTGTCTTTTGGGCGAGTGCACACGTCCTGTAGCAAAAATCTCTCCAAAAAAAGGTATTGATACATAAACTATCAGTGCCACAGATCACAGCTGTAGCATTATGTGTACTTGGGAAGTAAAGGAAGGATAGATTTGTCAGTGGAACTTTATTTTCCTCCTACAGAGCACACGTGCTTACCAGATAGAGGAGGAGAAAAATGAGAAATTTCGCTGCAGTCCTTTCTTCATTCTTCTCTTGGGATTATGGACCCGGGTGCATATATGCCTGGCATATTTTTCAGGCTATTGAGTCTGGAATGTGAATGGCGAGCCATGCGAGACCCAGCACCCTAATCACCGCTCCACCTGCTGGCTCGTTGGCAGTTCAGGAGTCCGATTCTATGTGTCTGACCACTGTTTGAGTCCTGGCCCTAGTGTCATGAAAAACATGCCAGGTACATGTTCATGCTGAAAATTCTGATGGGATGGAGAGAGTATCACCCTGTAAAATATCTAACCCACTTCATGCAGCACCAGAATTTGGTAACTGTTTTTTGTAGTGTAATCCAGCTCTAGAAAATGAACCTTGGTCAACAGTTCTTAGTCCTGGCCCATAGATCAGTGCTACCATCATCTGGGAACTTGTTAATAAGATACACATTTGCAAAATGACAGCAGTTTCCAGAATTACTACACTGCTTTGATGAAGTACCTTTGAACCCCTTTCTGACAGCAGACCCCAACCACTCCTAGCCTTCTGATTGGACACTCAGGGTGTAGGACCCAGTGATTTTTTTTAAATTTGAAAATAAACCACTACTAGTGGTTCTACCAGAGAATTACTGGCCTAGGAAATTACACACAGAGCTGCCCTTTAAAATATGTTTACAGAGAATAACGTAATTCTGTGGATAATTTGATGGGATTACATTTTAGGTTGTGTGAAAGGGTCTTCAGAAGTTCATAGAAAATTCTTACTATGAAAAAACTATGCATGGATTTCAAAATTTTATTGCACCAAAATAAACTCATACTTTAATTCTATTTTCCATAAACTTAAAAACAACCTCAAATATGTTTGTAGGTTTCTTACATAAAATGTGAAGAAATAATTTCCAAAATACACTGGTAATGAAAAAAATGTATTGAGGGTACCAGCAGCTGGCGTAATGACTATGTTGCTGGGCTCCCATGTAGTCAACCGTGGTTCGAGTCCTGGACCCGGTAGCTTAAACTCACACCAGGCAAATGTGCATGTGTGCCCAAGATCCCAAGAGGAGAATGGAGGAGAAGGGATTGCAGCATGGCCATCCCTTCTGGGGGTGATTTCTCACTTTATGTCTGTCTTTTGGGCGAGTGCACACGTCCTATAGCAAAAATCTCTCCAAAAAAAGGTATTGATACATAAACTATCAGTGCCACAGATCACAGCTGTAGCATTATGTGTACTTGGGAAGTAAAGGAAGGATAGATTTGTCAGTGGAACTTTATTTTCCTCCTACAGAGCACACGTGCTTACCAGATAGAGGAGGAGAAAAATGAGAAATTTCGCTGCAGTCCTTTCTTCATTCTTCTCTTGGGATTATGGACCCGGGTGCATATATGCCTGGCATATTTTTCAGGCTATTGAGTCTGGAATGTGAATGGCGAGCCATGCGAGACCCAGCACCCTAATCACCGCTCCACCTGCTGGCTCGTTGGCAGTTCAGGAGTCCGATTCTATGTGTCTGACCACTGTTTGAGTCCTGGCCCTAGTGTCATGAAAAACATGCCAGGTACATGTTCATGCTGAAAATTCTGATGGGATGGAGAAATGGAGGAAAAGAATTAATTACTGCTTTCATTTTAGTTTTCAATTTCTGAGAAAGTGAAATGGGAGGTTCATTCCAGGAAAATACATAAAGAAAAATTGTTAACATAATTTCGAATGGCCAGCAGGTGGCATCATAGTTTAAGGCAGCTGGATTCCCACATGGCCAATTGCGGTTGGAGTCCCAGATATGGTGGCATGAAAATCAAAACAGGCACATGTGCATGTCCAGAATCCTGGAAGAATGGAAGAGAAAGGATTGTAGCATGGTCATCCCCTCAGGAGGGGTGATTTCTCAATTTCCCTGTCTTTCCTCTCCAGTGAGCACACATGCCCTATGCCAAAAACCTTAAAAAGAAATAATTTAAGGTTATCAAAGTTACTAATTCTAAGAAGAGAGAGATAGGGACCAGCAGATGGTATAATGGTTGTGACTGAACTTCCACTTAGTTGACCATGGTTCAAATCCCAGACCTGACAGCTTAAAACTCACACCAGGTATGTGTGCAAAATCTCAAGAAGAGACTGGAGGACAAGGGATTAGTGTGGCAACCCCCCAGGGGTGGTTCTCACTGTCCTTCTCTCACGAGAGCACGCACCCTATAGCAAAAATCTCTCTAAATAAAAAAAAAAGTGCGAGAGATACTGAACCTGCTTTTATTACAGACTTAAATCTTAAGCTGGGGCAGATCGTGGCATATTGGCAACACAGTCGCTACATGGGAGGATTCCCAATTCAAGGCCGGAGACCTCCCTAAATACACTACACACATATGTGCCCAGGATCCATAGCTGTGAGGCTGGTTGGTGGCGGGGAATGAGGTGTCAGAACCCTGTTCAGAGTGCTCTCTCTCTCTCTGAATGATGAAGTACATGAATAATAGTTTGAAACATTCTATATCTTCAGCCAACAGAGTCCTAGGGGGCTTTTTTAGGACATAGCTGAAGTCCTTTGGCTAGGTGGTAGGCAGTTCTCAAATGCTCTCAGGTGCCACAGCTCTGGCCCAGGGCCACACTTTTAAAATCACTGCTTTTATAGTACTAGCATATGTAACTGTTCAGTTACTCCAGAGAAGGCTATAGGAGCTCAGAACATTTCTGTAGGTCAGAATTACAAAATTTACAAAATTAGTTTTTTATTATTTTTCAGGGTGTTTTGCTATAGGGGGATGTGTACTGCCAGAGAGACAGAGACGACAGAACGTGAGAAATCACCCCCCAGGGGGGATGGCCACGCCACAATCCCTTCTCCTCCACTCTCCTCTTGGCATTTTGGGTATGCACACACATGTGCCTGGCATGACTTTTAAGCCACTGGGTCTGGACTCAAACCACGTTCGATGGTATGGGAGTCTAGTGACATAACCATTATGCCACCTGCTGATCATGATGAGTTCAACTCTTAAATACTGTTTCTACTCTGCTGCTAAGTGATTTTTAATCAAGCAAAGTACTGTTTTTTTTTGTTTGTTTGTTTGTTTTTGTTTTTTTTTTTTTCCGCTACAGGGTCTGTGCATTTGCAGAGAGATAGAGAAAGAAAGAAAGCATCTGTACCCACACGAGCTCAAAGTATTTTATCATTGAATATATTAGGTCATCAGGAAACTCATGTTTTTTTCTATGCAAAAATGTGCCGTGAATTTCTCAACAAGCCAGTAAGTTCCTATTTACTGATAAACTGTCCTTTTTTCATGTCAAATAATTTAGTGGGAATGATGTTTTTAGTGACAAAAATCTTAGTATTCCATTTAAGCAATTTATGGATATATGGACACACTTTTTCTTTTGCCAGTGTGCATGCACTCACCAGAGGGAAAGCACCTATATAGTGGCTTGTGATCACTCTATTACTCCTTCCCATCAGGAATTGTGAATGCATGGATACACGCTCTTGGCACATTATTCCAGCAATTAAGGCTGGAATTCAAACCATGGTCAGCTATATGGGACCTGGCTCCCTTAAACCAGGGTGCCCAGAGGTGATTTGCTTCTTCAGATTAAACCAATGCCAAGTATTAAGCTTAGAGTCCACTTGGGTGTCTCTGTGCTTAGAAAGACCAGTGGGATGAGAGATGACCTATTTTCATTTGATCATTACTGAGCTGTGAAATTTCAGTCGTTACTTGCAGCTTATCAGTAAGGCACTTGTGAACTCAGAGGAAAAGGTCTTGATGCCCAGCTTTGGGCTTATTATAAGGAACAGTATCAACTGCAAGTGAGCAGAAGATGAAGGAAAGTGCTATAGATTCTAGCACCACGTACACTTTCTCTGACCTAAACCTAGACCTTTATGAAATTGAAGATGCCTCAGCCTTCTCCAGGACTAGTAACACAACACTCTTGAGCTCCCAGTTTAAAAGATTCACTTGACATAAGGCCAGGGTGGTATGGTGGTTAAGGTGCTTGACTCCCACATGGCCCACCACGGTCTGAGTGCTAGAATTGGTGGCTTGCTTTCTCACTTCCTCTCTCTGGTCAAATTAAAGCATAATAACTAAAATTAATTTTTTTTTTTTTTGAGAGAGGTTTTCATTATAGGGTATGTGTGAGAGACAGAAATTGACCCCTGGGGGAGGGAGTGGCCACACCCTAGTCCTTTCTCCTCCACACCCTAGTCCTTTCTCCTCCATTCTTTCAGGATCTTAGGCATGCATGCACGCACGCACACCTGCCCAGCGTGAACATGAGGCTGTCAGATCCAGGACTTGAACTGCAGTCAACTAAGTGGGAGTCCAGTGACATAACCATTACATCATCTGCTGGTCTCGAAAATTTGCTAAATTGTGCTATGAGACACATTTAAGTACCTAAAAATTTCTTATTCACATCTTTTTTTTCCTTTAAGGTTTTTGCCATGGGGCGTATGCTCACTAGAGAGAGAGGTGGGGAGAAAGTGAGCAATCAGCCCCCCTCCCCCAGGGGCGAGGGGGGGGAGGCAATGGCCATATCACAGTGGTCATGCCTGGTGTGACTTTCAACCCTTTGGGTATTGAGACTTGACATCTGGGGCTCAAACTGTGGTTGGCCATGTGGGAGTCCACCACCTTAACCAGAACAACACCTGCTGGCTCCTCACGTATCATTTGTGATCAGCTTAGTTGAGATCGTGTCTTAGATAGTTCTATGTGGCTGGTCATTCTGAGCCTATCTTTATAAACCTGTTGGTAAGATGCTGCTTGAGAACTGCTATTTTCCAGGAGCCATTGCTTCCTCTTTAATACATTTAAATGTTTAAATGACAGCATTAACGCAGTGCCTGACAGAACTGCTGCCTCCTCAGAGATCCAGTTAAACAGTGAGAAATGCCTCTTGGTGGTGGTGGAGGTTGTATAGCTGCTTCAAGTCCTCTTCATGGAAGAAACCAGAACTTTGAGCACTTAGGTATCTTTACTTACCCCAAACAAATGGGCTTTTTATACCTGGCTTATAGAGGAGCCATGGGTTAGAGAAAAAAACAAGTACAACTGTATTGAAATGCTGTTATATTCCCAATAGATTATAACAACTGTTTATTTGGCAGGCACAACTACCTGGACATCTGGCAAAAGCTGACATGGATAACTCAAAGGTAATGTTACCTCAAGTTAACTCCAAAGTTTCATGGTTCATTTGAAACAATTTGTGCAGTCACTGTCTCTCTTGTTATAGATTTCATCCTTGCTGTCTTTCCACAGCTTCCATAATGCTCAGCCTAACTGCAAAGGAACTCTATGCAGGTTTTCCATGGCTTATATCCTGGACAGTTCTGGACACAGACCATCTTCTAACATACTCTGATAAAGGCCATTCATCTTAAATTTAAAAAAACCATTCTTCTTATATGTAGTTGATTATTTCCCTTATTGCTCCTGCTATACTAGCTCAAATCTTAAAACCTTTTCTCCCTCAGAAATACCAACATTGTAGTGTTTATTGAGAAAACTATAGGAGAAGGCAGTTTTAAGATGCAAGGTAAAAAATAGTGCTCTGAAATGTCTCAACATATACGATGTCAATTTTATACAATTACAAACTGATGAACCAGTTTTGGACTTTTCCATAACTCACTAAGCCTGACTTATTAGTATTTGTTACATATTTCTTCAGATGAAGTTAAAAAAGTTTGACCTTGGGGCAATCTACAGGACTCCCCTCAAAGCACAGTGTGGCATCTAGTGCAGTGACCAGGCTCTCTGGGACCCATGGCTGTCCTTTCCAGGCTGTGTTCAGAAGAAGGACACTAGATGCACAAGACCTGGATTTCAAAATTATATGATGGCAGGCCAGCAGGTGGCATAGTGGTTCAGGTGCTAGAGTCCCTCATGGCCGACCAATGTTAGAGTCCCAGATCTAGTGGTTTGCTTTCTCAGTTTTCCTCTCTCTCTGGTCAAATTTTAAAAATAATAAAAAATTTAAAGAATAAGTGTAAAAGGTCACATATTTTCTGTTCTCTTTTAGGCATCGTAATGTTCTTGTTTACATTATTGCTATAGCTGAAAGGGTGGGGGAATGACAGCTCTATTACAAGGAGACCTCCAAATCTGTCCAGTCACATTAATCGCACTTGACGGACAACAAATCCACCCTTTGGTAACCTGGCTCCTCTTGTAAGCAAATGCTTCACACTTGACCATTTTTACTTCAAAAAAAATAAATTCCCCAAGGCTACTAGAAAATTACAAGTTTTCTTGTTTGTTTGTTTTGTTGGTCTTTAAAAAGTCTTTAATTTTTTTTTAAATAATCCTCATATGTTCCATTCCACACTGTGGAAAACTGAAATACGCAGTCCGGACACAATGTTGAAATTTCAGAATAGTGGCACAAACACTGAAATCTACATTTATACCAGAGCCACTATGTCCCATCTTAGAGACTACAATAGATGACAGGCTTAAACTGTAAGAGGTTTACAGCAAACTTTACATTTGAAAGTTTTAGATATGCCAAAAATTCCAAACTGCTTCAAAGAGGGTATTTAGGAATTGGTCTGAAAACAGCTCCATGCCAATCCTTTCCACTTGGTCACTGCAGCTGCACTCTGTATGCGCCTATCAGCAACTTCACCTATTAGAAAGAAAAACACAAATTAGTATAGAACTGGAACTCTTCTTTCTTACAAAAAAGTAGAAAGAAACCCACATAAGACCAAGATTTCAAAATTTGTCTTTTTTTTTTTCTTAAGAGAGAGATCGTTTTTTTGCTATAGGGTGCTTGTGCTACTTCAATAACCAAGTGTTTATAACTTGATTTTAGGTTAATAAATAATTACAGTACTACCATAGCCTAGCTTCTTTTCACACAGAGAGTTAGCTTCCTTTTACAGAGGTTAGCAAGTGGCCTTACATGGTGACTCAATAACAAAGTCCTAGAAGAGCAGCCAGGCTACTGAGCAACTTGAGATACATACACCTGTTTCGAACTTGGCCCTATTCTTGCCACGTTATTTTTCATGTCTAATTCATTTTAGATTCTAACAAGCAAGTGCACACAGCATCCTCCCTCAGGAGGACTTGTCTCTAGAAGAGACATACTGAAATTTCAGACTAAAAACACCTTAACATCCTTAAATTTCCAGATGATAATGTGACTAGGAGTAATAATTTGAATAGTGACATTAAATATGAGGAAAAGGTCTTCACCTTGGCAGAGGGTGCTTCTGTCAACCTTATGAAGAGTTTATTGGCGCCTGCAACTGGGCTGAATGAGTAAACAAAATGACTATCCTAGAGTGGAAAGGGAAAAAGGTTACAAACAGCAAAACCACATAATCTCTTCAATAGAGACCACAAACCCTTTTTAGAACTCCAATAATATAACAGCAAAATCATGTATAAGCTCTATTTATGTCAGTATGCTATAATTTCTTTACTTTTTTCCCCTGATTTATTAGTAAGTAAAAATACAGGACAAACAGATGGCGTAATGGTTGCATCGCTAGACTCCTAAGTAGTTCACTGTGGTTCAAGTCCTGGACCCAGTGGCTTAAAACTCATGCTGGGTGTGCATGCATGCATGCCCAGAATCCTGAGAGAAGGGACTGTGGTGTGGCCATCCCCCCCCTGGGGGGGGGGTGATTTCGTGCTTTCTATCTCTCCAGTGAGTACACACTCCATATAGGAAAAATCTCTAATCCTCCCAAAAGGTAAAAATGACAAAAACAATATCCAGGGGCCAATAGGTGGCAAGGTAATTAAGGCACTCCTGAATTTCATAAGGCTGACTGAACAGGTCAAGTCCCAGACCCAGTGGGTTGAAAAACATGCTGGATATGTGCCCAAAATACTGAGAGAAGAAATTATTGCATGGCTGCCCACCCTGAGCTTTCTCACACCCTTCCCTCCCCCGAGTATACATGCCCTATAGCAAAAATCTACAAAAAAAAAAAAAAAAAAAAAAAAAAAAACCAAAAGCCAATGTCCAGATAAATCTTTGGGATTACAGTGCAGCCAGGTATATACAGCACATGTATTAAAATGTCCAAACCCAGTTATGTTGGTTAATTTAGCTCTAGGAATGAGTTTTCGAAGTGGCAAAAGGATTATGCACAAAGATTTAAGAGCTTTTTTTTTTGAGAGAGAGATTTTTGCTATAGGGTGTGTGCACTCGCCAGAAAGAGAAAGACAGAAAGTGAGAGATCACTCCCTAAGGGGGATGTCCACGCCACAGTCCCTTCTCCCCCATTCTCCTCTCAGGGTCTTGGGCATGCATGCACATGTACCCAGTGTGAGTTTAAGCCACTGGGTCTGGGAATTGAACTGTAGTCGACTCATGGGAGTCCAGCAACATAGCCATTAGGCCACATGCTGGTCCCTAAGAGCATTTTTTATGTTAAAAATAATTTATGCAGCCATAGAGGTTATGATAGGTCATAAAAAGTCATGACATGTTTCTCTGTTTTTCTATTACTAAAACACGTCATGACTTTCCCAACTTTAATCTTTTACAGTATTTGTACTTGGGTATTTGATGCATGGAAATTTCCTTAATTTTAGGTAAGTAAATGTTTTTGAAATTACAATAGTAGAAAAGCCTATAATAGTAAAAGTTGATATTTACTGTCATGGTGTTATTTTTATTTTTTTAAGAGAGATTTTTGCTATAGGGCATGTGCACTTGCTGGAGAGACAGTGAAAGACAAGACAGAAAACCAGAATTTACCCTCCAGGGGGGATAGCTACACTACAACCCTTTCTCCTCCATTCTCCTCTCAGGATCTTGGGCACTCAGACACACAAGCCTAGTTTGAGTTTTATCCACCACGTCTGGGACTTGAACCATGGTCAACTAAGTGGAAGTCTAATGACATAATCACTAAGCCATCTGCTGGTCTCAATACTGTGTTATCCCCCCCCCAATTAAAATATTATGCCATCTTTTTTTTTTCATTGTTGCTATAGGGCACATGTGCTCACTGGAGAGGGAAATCACTCCCTGGAGGGATGAACACAACAGTCAGCTTCTCCTCCATTCTCCTGTTGGGATTTTGGGCGCTCAAGCACATGTGCAAAGCACCAGGGTCCAGGATTTAAACCACCCAGTTATTCATCTGCGGGCCCCCTATTTGTGCTTTTTTTGATTAGAAAATGTACACTATAGAAAATCTTACCAGAAAAACAGGAAGTTGGAATTTATCATTTAAAACAACTGCTTGTACACTACATGGTCCACAGAGCCGAGCAATAACTTCTTTACCCAGAAAATTTGCATGGAAAATAAAGAGCAGGATGCCAGAGCCTGAATGAGGAGATGTGAGATTATTACAAATGCAAACTTAAGACCCAACTTGGTAGAGGCTCCACTTATACCGTAGGCTCTGAGACACCCAGAGCCTCTTGTTTTTTTACCCATGTAATTTCTACTAAGTGCTCCTGGAAAACGCATTTAAAATATGATTTTCTTTGTTTCTTAAAGATATTTTTGCTGTAGGGTACATGTGTTTGCCAGAGACACAGAAAGTGAGAAATCACCTCTGGTGGGGGTGTCCACACAATTCCTTCTCCTTCATTCTTATCTTGGAATTTTCAGCACATAGGCATATGTGCCCAGCAGGAGTTTTAAGCCGTCAGGCCTGGGACTCAAGCAGCAGTTGACCATGTGGTTGGTAGTCCAGCACCTCGTAACCACTATGCCATTTGCTGGCCCCTAAAATATGATTTTCTACTCATGTTACGTTTTCTTTTTCTTAATGGTATTTCAAAGTTGTTGCTGAGGGCTAGATAGTTGTGTAGCTGTACTGCAAATGGACTCACATGGGACGGTCCTAGGTTCATATCCCAGGACACCCCCTGTACACACTGGGCACATACATGTGCCTGTGACCCTGGCTGGCTGGCGGTAGACTACAGTATGATCCTGTTTTTTTCCTCCTCCTTTCATAGGGAAGAAATAAATGAACTTCTAATAAAATCTGCTGCTTTTTTGTACATGTCCAGAGATGCAAACCTATGGATTTTATTTTGGGGGCGGTGAGTGGAGAGAATTTACTCGTTTTTATTTATTATTACTATCCTTTAGTTTGCTACTGGGCTTACACACTCATCACAGAGAGAGAAACCAAGCCAACAGAGGCAACAGATCTGGTACTCAAACCGTGGTTGCCCATGTAGGGTGCCTCAACCACCATGCCACCTGCTGGCCCCACCCATGGACTTTTTTATGATCATTGTCTTTGGGTATGGATTGACAGATGTTTTCCAGTTTCACATACTGCTGTACCTATTCCAAATTTTCTAATTAAAACCAAAAAATCTTTCTTTGGAACAACATGTTAGCATGAAACTAAGGTTTAACAAAACTCAACAAATATAGCATGATTAAAACCCAACTTCCATATTTTTAAAATGTGTTAACACAATGTTCCACACACCCCAGTCATAAGGTACAGGTATCAGCTGGGTTCTAACAGGTAAGAGCAGCTCTGCTGCTAGCCATTTTACGTACGTGTTACACACAGACTTTCCTCAGAGTTTTGTTCATAGAAAGTATTCTGCTGCAAAATCAGTATTTATAACATCACACTTAAAACTAGGCATAGACTTACCTTCTGGTATGTTCTGTGGTGGTTTGTAATTGAAATCTGTTGAAAAATCTGGACCTTCACAGAGTCGATGACATGCTATTGGAAAAACAGGTTCGAGTAGAGTGAGGCGAGCTTCAAAGTAATCCTTTATCGTCTCTTCTGCTACTCTGGAAAGTCTAATGAGGGAACCAGCAGTTAGCGTAATGGCTATGTCGCTGGACTCCCACGTAGTCGACCGCGGTTTGCGTCCCGGACCCGGTGGCTTAAAACTCACGTTGGGCACGTGTGTGTACGTGCCCAAGATCCCGAGAGGAGAATGGAGGAGAAGGGATTGCGGTGTGACCATCCCCCCTGGGGGGTGATTTCTCACTTTCTGTCTCTATGTCTCTGTCTGGCGAGCACACGTGCCCTATAACAAAAACCTCTCCAAAAAAAAAAAAAAAAAAGTCTAATGAAATGGTAGTAGAAATTGTTGATATTAGTGTAGAAAAGAATCTCAGCCATACATTCTCCTGTCAAATACCAGTGAGGCCTTCCAGATCAACTTTTTAATAAGAGCCACAACATCTCACCTGGCTTCCACTTCTAGTTCTCTTTAGCAGCAGCATCTGAAATACTATACCCATCTATCTTAGTGCCTGTCCTCTAACTGGACTAAAGTTACAGGACATGCTAGTCTACATCCCAGCCTTCATTTAGAATAAAGCAGAAAATCTATGCTTGATACTTGTCTAATGAGTGAAGAGAAGATCAGAAATGAGAATCACTTCATCTTGGGTAAACCATTAAGGTTGATTACCCTATACTTGCTTCCTATAACTACCTTAGGTGAACAGAGATATACAGCCATAAAAGATAGCATGTACAACAGGCCAGGTTAGGGAGGCAGGTTTGGGTGAGGCTCCCAGTAAAACCTATCAGCATACCAGGTATAAGCTATTTTTTGCCTCACTTGAGAGAGAGGGAAAGAAAGAAATCACACCCCAGGAGGGATGTCCACACTGTAATCACTTCATTCTTCTCTCAGAATTTTGGGCACATACACGTACCCATCCAGCCAGTATGATTTTCAAGCTGCCAGGTCTGGTACTTGAACCACAGTTGGCCATGTGGGAATCTAGCACCTTAGCCACATTACCTGTTGGCCCAGGCCTTTTTTGGTCTCTTACTTACTTTCTTATTAGATACAGATGTTATGCCTGGAATTAGAATTAGCTACTCTTGCCCAGGGTTATCTACCCCTGGACCCCTTATTTAAAAATAAGCACCTGACAAAGTAGAATTTCTGATACATGCTGCTGAAAGAGTCCATGAATGATAAAAAGATACTAACTTACCTGTGTCATGAAGTATTTGTAATAAAGTAAGATTTCGAGTTTGAAAAAGAATGAACTTACATAAATTTATATAGCCAGACAATGGAATATTACTTGTTGCTCAGAAGAAATAAGCTATCAAGACATGGGAGGAACCTTATATGTTTTCTGCTGTGTGAAAGCAAATGTATAGAAAGGCTTAACTCCAACTGTACTGGGAAGGACAAAACTGTGGCGGAAGTAAAAGGATCAGTGGGTGCCAGGGTTTAGAATGGGGGGGGGGATGGAAAACAGGATTCTTACAGCAGCGACATTCTGTGTGATACAACAATGTTGTGTATAATGTTGTGTATAATGTTTAGGCGTTGGTATTTATCTAAACAAGGACTGTACAATACATCAGGAGTGAATCCTCTGTAAACTATGGGTTCTGGGTAACTGTATCAAAGTAGGTCACTGATTTTAAAATACGCACCTCTGTGTGTGATGTTGACAATGTGGGAGGCTATGTGTGTGGTGATACAGGGAGTATTTGGGAAATCTCGATCTTCCACCCAATTTTGCTATATATTTTTTAATAAAAGAATACAGTCAAAGGGTTTTGGTTTTAAGAGAATGGTTGTTAGCCATATTGAGTATACTTCAGAAACTTGTAGAAAAGTAATTCATACACCTCTTATTTGATTCATCATCCAGGGGCAAGCAGATGGCATAGCAGTTACATCATCGGACTCCAACACGGCAGACTGTGGTTTGAGTCCTGGAATAGCTTGAAAATTGAACAGTGGCTTGAAAATGCCCAAGATCCCTGGAGGAGAATGGACTACACCTCTCAGGGGGTGATTTTTCACTCTCCCTGTCTGTCTGTCTCTCCGGCAAGTGCACACACACAAAAAGGCAAAAAAAAAAAAAAAAAAACTCTTTTAAAAAAAATA